CCCCAAAACCCCAAAACCCCAAAACCCCAAAACCCCATTATCAGCAGTAATAGTTGAAAGTTTTCTATTAGAATTCTATAACTATCCCCAGATCACATCAAGAACTGCATCGACATCCCCATCATTTTCGTTAAGTAGGTTGTAAATCTCTTTATCAGTCTTCTCACCTCCTATAAATTTGAAGCTTAACAAATACCTCCAGACTCTTTCACTGTTCTGATCTATACAAAAGGTTAGGTTAGTTTACGAAAGTGCCTACTCTATCCTGTGTGACTTCATCCAGAGTGTCTAAGAAGTTTGTCTCTGATAGTACGACTGATTCTGAGTTGAATTTGCCTTCCTCACCCTCTCTGAATTGCAACGCTGATACTATCTCCTTTGACTCAACGACCTTATCTTTGGAGGTAAGCTCAGAAGGTCCAACATGGAAATAAGGCTTAATGCTGAAAAAGACCTTATCTCTTTTTGGGAATTCTCTTACGATAGCAAACAACTGCTCCATGTTCTTAACAGGAGTGAGCCTTCCTTTAGAATTTGTAATGTTCAAACTATAAGGCTCGTGGAACTCCTTGCCTTTAGCTTCATACTGTGGCTTTAGCTGCTTATTGAGCTCATTAATAAGATCTGGCATGTCCCTGATTGAGGCCAGATCAAAGTCAAATTTGGTAATCTCCTTAAAAAGATACACAAACCCGACCCTCTCAGCTAGGGCTTCCTTATCAACCTCTAAACTCTCACCAGGGATGACTTACTTTCCTCTTCTCCGATCTTGACCTCCTCATCAGAGTCTTGCTCATGTTTGTCCCACCATCTCTGCAGATCAATAATCTTGACTCTGAAAGGATCTGCTCCTTTCTCGCTTAGAGCTTCCTTTAAATAAGCAATGAAGTTCTTGTTGCACTCAATTTTGTGTTTCTCTAACTTCTTTTCAATACTGGAGAGCCCCTTGATTGTCTCCAAGGGATCTTCGTATATGAAGAGCAGACCCTTGTAGCTGATCATGAACTTACGAGGTTGTATACGGAAGTAAGTCTCCGCACGGGATTTCAGATCAGTAATCTTAGGGTTGATATACACCTCTTCGCTCTTGCCTTGATACACTAGGAGAGTTTTACGTGAGATCCGTTCCATTTTACTTCAGATATTTCAATTTATTTATAACTAATTGGGGTTTTGGGGTTTTGGGGTTTTGGGGTTTTGGGG